CGTCTTCCGGTGACGGATTCCCAGTCACGCTCTAGTACGCCGTTTCTCACAGCGAGCGATTTCCACTGGGCCCAGTAGCTTTTGTACGTGGGACTCCGATCCGCGATGTCCTGCCATTCCGGTCGTTGGCCGTTTTCTACTTCCTGTAGAATAGGCCCTATGTCTGGGTCTTTTAGCTGTTCCTCTCTTAGGGTAACAGGGTCCCAGCCGGCTGCCGGTAGGGTTCCAATAACGCGTATTTGGTTTACCTCTGCTCGCGTCTCGACTTTGTGGCAGTGCGCACATTCCTCTTTGCAGGGTCGTCTAGAAAGGGCGTCGGCGTTGTTATGTTTCCGGCCCTGTCGATGCTCCAAAGTGAAGTTGTACTCCTGTAGACGCTGTATCCAGCGCGCAGTTTGTCCCTCTAATCTGGCCAGTAATTCGTTGAGGCCCATCTCCGCTTTTTCTTGGGTTGCCCTAATCTCTTTCAGCATTTCTTCCTTCTCCGCCTCCCTTTCTTCCCTCTCTTTCCTTCCCCTTTCCTCCATCTCTTCTTTGTCCTTCTTCCTGTTTGCCTCCATCGTTTCATGCTTCTCTCTGATTTCCTTCAGTAGAACTTCCATCATTTGCTGCATCTCCATTTTGTAGCAGTAAAATTCTGAGGCGTATTTAAGCTCGTAAAAATCCTGACACCAAATTGTCACATGTCTTGAGTTCTAATCTCGTTGATCACGTGTGTAAGTTCAAATCCCACTTCTGACACCAGTGTAACGTGTTTCGTTACTGAAGAAGCCATAGAGATGGTTAATTGGTTTATTTAACAATCTTCAAATAACGGCTACACTTAATTATCACAATATTATGGGTTTCCACACTTTACAAACCCTACAACAAAATCTCTTAACACTCTCTTCGAGAGCCTTCACGTACTAATAATGCGGGAGCTATACAAGTCTCCCTGAATTACACACTCCAGATATAACTGGTTATCGCTGGTTATCGCACACACGTCTGTAGCTCATAACTTGCGAACTGAGAACTCGTTGGTAACGCACTGACTGGCTGACTGTCACAGTACAACTAACTGTGAATAGCCTTCGCTGCTCCTTATGTAGCCTCGATCGGACAATACGGCCACGTAATAGGCACCCTTGTTGCCTGGCGCTGTGTTGCTAGTAACGCTAGCGGAAGTAACCGCTGTTACTACCGTAACAATCCTGTTGCGTCACCGTTACGTTACCGTGCGGAGGAGGGGGAGGGGAGCGCTGACTCACCCGCCGCGTCACTGCTGGTGGGGGGGGTTCTCCTTTGCGCAACATGTCACAATATATATACGCACTTTTGGTCATTGTGATGATATCTATTTTGCAACTTTTTCTGAGGGAAAATAATACTACTATTATTGGACACTTTTCTTTTAGTTTATTCAGTTTTGACCAGATACAAATATAATTGGAAGAAAAATGTTATACCATTTAATCTGTCAATTCCAGTTCTTAAAAACTGTGAATTATGTACTTGATATTTGTGTTTTGCCATGTACATAATTCAGTATGTAATGTTTTGAAGGTTCTAATAATAATGGTGAAACATCTTTAGTAGTATTTTCAAGAGTTCAAGAATACAATTTTTCTGCAGAAATTTGATTGTTTTTGGTAATAATATCTGAACCAGTGCAGCTGAAGTAATAAATGGAATACTAGTGTAACAGTCACAAATTTTGAAGCTCTTTCAGTCATTTTGTAGGGGTTGTAACTCAGTTACTGCTATATGTTGAAAATTGAACCACAATTGATGTAAACTTCCATATGACCATGCATTTCTCCTTTCTTATTTGATAGGTATTCAAGAAGTACCCATCCTGAATTGTGGCCAGGTTACTGGCTCCCCTTACAGAAGTTGTTTGTAGTTTTCCTACAGCTCTAGACAAATG